TTTGTCAAGGCTACTCAATTATTTGTTGACCTAGCAGCCAACCCAAGAATCCCTGACACAAATTTTGTGATCTTAACCTCTTCACTTTACTGCACTGAGAAGTGCTGAGAGCATGATTTGGATGGGAAAATCTAAATTTCTAGATTCCATTACAAGGCAGACCGGTAACCAGGCATCTGACCCTGGTCAAGTCTCTTGCTTTCCCTGGGCCTCATCTCCCTTACTAGTTTTAAAAAAGGTGGTGGTAGACTACATGATCCTTTCCAAGGAGAGCATCTGGCCTGTCCTACCTCTCCCCATGGAGTAGCATATGTTCAGCTGCCTCACATCCAGGTAATATTCATTTTGTCAACAAAAGCAAATTTTCCATGTGTAAGTAAATGAAATTTACTATCTATTGTTCTGATCAGTGTTTTATGTTAAACACATTAAAATTTGGGGGGAAATGTGTCATGGACCAACCTACTTTGGGGTTTGAGAAGCTTGGGCTCTTTCATTTTATGGAAAAATGCATTCATTAATTATCTAACTGAACCTTTCCAACTATAGCCTTACAAAATGAAAAAGGAAACATTTTCTGTATTGCTTCATTCTTTACACTTCACCATCCATCTGTTACCATAGCACTGACTGTCATGTCATAATTGCAATTAGTTACACTCAAAGACAATCAGGAAAAAGGCCACAGGAGGCTGTCCCCAGGCCCTGATAACCCACAATTACTGGACTAATTGTGAAATAAGAATTTTAAATTCAAGAGACCTGGTTTCACGCTATAGCTCTGCCACTGAGTAGCTGTGTATCTTCAGAACAATGATTTATAAGCTAAATTTCGTGAGTCAAAAGGTGTGAGTTCAAAAGCTGGCTCTACCATTAACACAAGCACACTAGGTAACTTCTATTTGCCTCTCTGTTCCTTTAACTATGAAATGAGACATTATGGGGGCCGGCACGGTGGCGCATCAGGTTAACACCCTGGCATGAAGCACCGGCATCCCATATGGGCGCCAGTTCAAGACCTGGCTACTCCTCTTCCGATCCAGCTCTCTGCTATTGCCTGGGAAAGCAGTAGAAAATGGCCCAAGTCCTTGGGCCCCTGCACCCACGTGGGAGACCTGGAAGAAGCTCCTGGCTCCTGGCTTCGGGTCGGCACAGCTCCAGCCACTGTGGCCAATTGGGGAGTGAACCAATGGATGGAAGACCTCTCTCTCTGCCTCTCCTCTCTGTGTAACTCTGACTTTCAAATAAATAAATCTTAAAAAAAAAAAGGAGATATTATGACTGCCTAACTCAGAATGGTTGTTGAAAAGATTAACCGTTATACTATATATTTAATATATGTGTGTGTGTCATAATGGGAAAATATTAACACCTCTAACGTGACAGAAAATAACAGGCATCAAAAAATATTGTAGTTGAAAGTCTTTGAGGTGAATATTAGAGGAAAAAAAAGATTTAGATGCAAGCGAATAAGGAGAAAAGGGACAGCGGTATCCCGACAAAGGAACAGCAAAGCCAGGAGGTGGAAAAGCACAGACCATATATGGTGAAGACTGAGTGGTAAAATTTACCAATGGAGAACACACAAAAGGACTGGAACAAATAATGAGAATAAAACCATGTACTACAGGACGTTAGATGTAGGAAGAACAGCTGCCATGATTGAAAACTCTAAGACCAGTGGGCATTCGGCATAGGAGTTAAGATGCCACTTAGGATACCTGCATCCCATGTCAGAGTGCCTAGGTTTGCGCTCTGGGTCAGTTTCAGATTCCAACTTCCTGTTAATGTGCGAGACAGCAGACAATGGCTTAAACAGGTGGGGCCCTGACACCCATGCGGGAGACCTGGATGAGTTCCAGGCTTCTAGTTTTAGCCCAGTTCAGTCTCAGCTATGGCAGGCATTTGGAAAGTGAACCAGTGAATAGATTCTCTCTCTCTCTCTCTCTCTCTTTCTATCTCTCCCTCTCTCTCTTTCCTCTCTCTTCTGTGTGTGTGTGTGTTTGAAATAAATTTTAGAAGTTATAAGGGATTGGAAAGGAAGGCCTAGTTGCAAAATATATGAAAATAATTGGATGATATTATTATTAAGATTCTGTCATTATATTCTACAGTCATCTTTCTGAAGATTTATGAATTTAAACTTCAAAACTTATAATCTACAGTAGAAATCAATCCTTTTATCTGCTTCTCACCAACTCTATGTTAGGCAGAAATACAGACAAAGGAGGAGAGACAGACCATCTTCCATCTACCGGTTCATCCCCCAAATGGCTGCAATGGCTGGTGCTGGGCCAGGCAGAAGCCAGGACCTTCCTCTGGGTCTCCCAAGTATGTGCAGGCCATCCTCTGCTGCTTTCCCAGGCCATTAGCAGGGAGATGAATTTGAAGTATAGCAGCCGGGACTTGAACCAGTGCCCTATGGGATGCCAGCAATGCAGGCAGCGGCTTTACCTGTTGATGTCTTGACTATTGCTTTCTCCTAGCCTGGTCTCTTCAACTTCTGTTTATCTATACAAGATTATAACCCAACCCTAAATCCAACTTCAATCAGGAGGCCTTCCTTGATGATCTAGACTTTATCAGTCTCTTCCACTCTGCATACCTCATAGCATACCCATTTCATCAAACTGCAACATGCTAGAACTCTTACTGACCCTACTTGTTCCCAGAGTGCCTCCGCTACTGTGTTCATCCATCCTTAGAGCCCAGGGTGTCTTCAGGAAGGGATCAGCATGCACTGGCTCCCTCTGCCTCTCCTTCTTTCCCTGCCACTCTGCTTTTCAAACAAACCGATCCTTAAAACAGCGAGACTTCTCTTTGTAAAGGGCTGGTAAGTAAAAGAGACAAATGAATTTTTTTAGATCAGCATGAAAACCTTAATAGATTTTTTAACCACCTAGACCTAACATGCTTTAACAAATGTACTAAATTAAGTATGGCCTGATGAAAATGAAGAAAAATCAGTTTCAAATTCTCTAGGACCACTGAATCTTAACGTTCCCAGACCAGCAGCATCAGCATCACCTGAGAATTTGTTAAACATGCAAATTCTCCAGGCCTACTAAGTGGGAATCGGACTTAACAAATTGTGGGTTCAGGTGTGGAGTCTACTGGATTATGTACCGTCAGTTGTAGTCAGATAAGCTCCGAAGCCCTCTATGAACTTTGTAATTCATTCTGATAGCATATTACCACCCTCATGATGATGAAAATTTATAGACATACTCTACGTCGAAGTTGTCTTTGTTTGAAAAAGAAATAAGGGGGTGGGTTAAGCTGCCTCTGAGGAGGCCATATCTCATATCAGAATGTCCCATTTGAGTTCCAGCTCCCCCACTTCCAATCCAGATCCCCGTTAACGTGTCTGGGAGGCAGCATATGATGGGAAATCCGGATGGAGTTCCTAGTTCCCAGCTTTGGCCTGAGCCAGCTCTGGATGTTGCAAGCATTTAGAGCGAAGCAGGGGATGAAAGCTCTGTTGCTCTCTGCCTCTCCTTCCTTCTCCTACACTCTGCTTTGCAAATCAATCAATCTTTAAAAAAAAAAGTTTAAAAAGGCTTGACTTTTCTTTGTAAAGGGATGGCACGTAACAGAAACGAATGAACTTTTTAGTTTTCTGACACAACACCACCACCCTTACCACTGATAAAAGAACGGGGGTTTGGAGGTAGGAGACCTTAACAGTGGAACAGGCAGCTATTCTACTTGTTTGACAATTTTATCAGGTGACAGAAATACATCTTATCACTTGCAGATATAAGCTGTCAGGTGTCTTGTGTGCGTAGCTATGCCCCAGACTGTTTTAAAGAATTACTAAATGGATATTTTGTTTTATTTGCAGCTAAACCATCATGCTTTTTCCAAATCTATTCACTAGACTACTCAAGACACGTAACACAATTTTTTACCGAAGCTTAAAGTTTCATAATTTCCTCAAAAGGCATATTAGAGGGGCCAGTTGTGGCACAGTAGGTTAAGCCAATATTTGTGACACTGGCAAACTGAATCAGAGAGCTGTGTTAAGTCCTGGCTGCTACCCTTCTGATCCAGCTCCCCCGGTAAGGGGCCTGGGAAAGCAGCAGCAGATGAGCCAAGTGCTTAGGCCCTTTCCACTCATGTATGAGACCCACATGGAGTTCTTGACTCCTGCCTTCTGCCTGGCCCAGTTCAGGCTTTTGTAGCCATTCGGGCAATGAACCAGTGTATGGAAAATTTTCTGTGTCTCTCTTCTCACTTTGTCTTTCAAATAAATACATAAATCTCTAAAAAAATATATACTCCTCATAATTCTGGCTTTGCCTTTTACTGGCTAGTTTGCCTTGGGCATTTTTTGGGCACTGCCTTTTGTGTGTTTCAGCACCATCCCCACATGGGGCTGGGGTGGAGAGAAGAGACACACACTCAACGAGCTTCCATTTCTGCCTGCAAAACTAACAGGAAAAGATAATCAACTACAATTTGATTTTTCCTTGACGCTAGAGCCGGTGGACTAATTTCAAACGTTAGGAATAAAAATCAGAACCAACTGACATGCCCACAATATAAGAACTGGTTAATTAATCCACATTTTACAATCATAGACTTCTATTAGTCACTAATACTGCCTGCACATACAGAAAAAAAATAAAAGAAAAATCTCGCAGGATGGGGACATTGATCTATGAACAGCGGTTACACGAAGAAGCAGGATGGGGGTGGGGATGCAGCTGGCCCACGCTTCAGTTTATACTTCTAGGCCATTTATGTCCAAAAAAAATTTTTTTAAAAACAGGAGCTTTTTGTATTTTAAAGGGCAAATCTCAAATCTACTTTGACATGGGCTACTCATCCGCCTCAGGAATGTGATTTTAAATATACGAAAGAGAAACGGTTATCTGAGAAGACACGCGTCGGAACGAAACACACGCCGACTGAACTCAGCTTTCGGTTGGCGGTTTCCCGCCGAGGAACGGGAGCAAAACGTGACGTCAAAGGAGGCCGACGCTCCCGGTTACCCTGGCGACGCCTGTGCCGTCCAGCCGGCGGCGGCGGGGCGTTAAGTTTAGTACGCAGGGTGGGGAAGGCCTCCTGCGCGTCGGCAGCAGAGCTGAGATCACCAGGAAGGGTCGGGGGCGGGAAGCGTTACGTAAACGACTTAGTGGGACACCGTGCAAGAGGTTCCGCGGAGAAGCGGAACCATTGGAAAGGCTCAACCAGGTTTCCGCCCGGATTCGTAAGAGCAGCTTCCGTTGCTCAGCGGAAGTGTGGGTCGCCAAAGGACGACTCCTGCAAGAATCCGCCGTCTGCCGTGAGCACGGCCGGAATCATGTCGAGTTTAGCGGTGAGAGACCCGGCCATGGATCGATCACTGCGTTCCGTGTTCGTGGGGAACATTCCGTATGAGGCGACTGAGGAGCAGTTAAAGGACATTTTCTCCGAGGTCGGTTCGGTGGTCAGTTTCCGGCTGGTGTACGACAGAGAGACGGGAAAACCTAAGGGTTATGGCTTCTGTGAGTACCAAGACCAGGAGACCGCGCTTAGTGCCATGCGGAACCTCAATGGGCGGGAGTTCAGTGGGCGAGCGCTTCGGGTGGACAATGCTGCCAGTGAGAAGAATAAGGAGGAGTTAAAGAGCCTGGGGCCTGCAGCACCCATCATTGACTCACCCTATGGGGACCCCATCGATCCAGAAGATGCCCCTGAATCGATTACCAGAGCGGTCGCCAGTCTCCCCCCGGAGCAGATGTTTGAGCTGATGAAGCAGATGAAGCTCTGTGTGCAAAACAGTCACCAGGAAGCGCGCAACATGCTACTTCAAAACCCGCAGCTGGCTTACGCGCTGCTGCAGGCGCAAGTGGTGATGAGAATCATGGATCCAGAGATTGCTCTGAAAATTCTGCATCGGAAAATACACGTCACACCGCTGATCCCAGGCAAATCTCAGCCCGTCGCTGGCCCTGTGCCGGGCCCCGTGCCGGGCCCTGGCCCTGCCCCTGGGCTCTGCCCAGCACCGAATGTTCTGCTGAATCAGCAGAATCCTCCAGCCCCTCAGCCTCAGCATTTGGCTAGAAGACCAGTCAAAGACATTCCTCCTCTGATGCAGACTCCCATCCAAGGTGGAATTCCAGCTCCCGGACCCATACCAGCGGCAGTCCCCGGCCCTGGCCCTGGCGCCTTAGCTCCCGGAGGAGCAATGCAACCCCAAGTCGGAATGCCAGGGGTTGGCCCAGTGCCTTTAGAGCGGGGACAAGTGCAGATGTCAGATCCCAGAGCTCCTATGCCGCGTGGACCCATGACTGCCGGCGGCCTGCCTCCCCGTGGACTGCTGGGAGATGCTCCAAATGACCCACGTGGAGGGACTTTGCTTTCAGTCACTGGAGAAGTGGAGCCTCGAGGTTACCTGGGCCCACCCCATCAGGGTCCCCCCATGCACCATCCCTCTGGTCATGATGGCCGCGGCCCTTCCTCACATGAGATGAGGGGAGGGCCGTTAGGAGACCCCAGAATGCTAATTGGAGAACCCAGAGGACCCATGTTGGATCAAAGGGGTTTACCTATGGACGGTAGAGTTAGTAGAGATTCTCGAGTGATGGAGACTCGAGCCATGGAAACTGATGTCTTGGAGTCACGAGTGATGGAGAGAAGAGGCATGGAGACTTGTGCAATGGAAGCCAGAGGCATGGATACAAGGGGACTGGAGATGAGGGGCCCCGTCCCCAGTTCGCGAGGCCATATGACCGGTGGAATGCCAGGCCCTGGGCCCATTAACATAGGGGCAGCTGGCCCTCAGGGACCCAGACAGGTCCCAAGCATTTCCAGTGTGGGGAATCCTGGAGGTGGCATGCAGGGGGCGGGCGTGCAGGGAGCGGGCATGCAAGGAGGAGGAATGCAGGGGGCAGGCATGCAAGGAGTGGGCATCCAAGGAGCAGGTATGCAGGGGGCAGGTAAGCAAGGTGGAAGCCAGCCTAGCAGTTTTAGTCCTGGGCAGAGCCAGGTAACTCCACAGGACCAAGAAAAGGCAGCTTTGATTATGCAGGTTCTTCAGCTAACTGCAGATCAGATTGCCATGCTACCTCCTGAGCAAAGGCAGAGTATTCTGATTTTAAAGGAGCAAATCCAGAAATCCACTGGAGCTTCCTGAAAGGGTTTAGAAAATGAGTGGCTTATAGTTTATTTTCAGTTTATTCCTAGCATGGAGAATGGTTAAAAAAAGCTGACTTGTGTATTCCCACACTTTAATGATTACAGTTGCCCTTCTACAACCTTATTTCTTCTTGTCTTTATTTCTGTTTTTGTTTTTAATTGAGGGTAGGGGAAGGGATGGGTTGGGTCTGTTCACTTTAAGTCACTGTAAATATCCAAAAGTAACTCCGAATATGATTATTATACCACATAAAAATATGCGGCAATATCGATGTGTGTACAATATGTTAAATGCATTTTTGAAATACTGAGTTAAAACTGTGAAAACTGCATCTAAGGACTAAAAGGTGACTTGTTAAAATGGTAATGTATTCAGATAGTTTAAGATTTTTGGTTGTGTATCAAAGAAATTTATTTCCAAATTAGAATTTTTGGTAAGCTATTTAGACTACAAAACCTTACTTTGGAGGCACTAGAACACTGTATTAGGTTAAGTATTACGTAAGTTGTTTTGGAATTGTTTTAAAATGTTAGAGCCAACAGATTAAGTTGAAACTTGTGTTGTTGGAACTGTTTGCCTCAAAAAATATCAAGGATTGCATCTGGTTTGATGTTGCTTCATTGAACCCATCCTTAAGAAACCAGCAAGATTCTGGTTTGGCTGCAAGTGTGATGGTTTTGCTGAGACAGTTCTAGGATCAACCAAATTACTTAAGTTGGCTCTGATGAGACCCAGTACTTTCCTGGCACCTTCCTATTTCTCAATCTGTAAGCCCTAAATCTGACTGAGTAGTTCTCTGACATTCTTCCCCAAAATAAATGATGAGGCCTAAATGATCTGGGTGAATTACTACACAGCTTTGGGTTTTTCATAAAGAATGGAAGGCTTAATTCAGTAAAACTTTCCTGGTAACTAGCTTCCATTCACAGATGGTATGCATTCAGTTAACCAAAATCAGGAGTTAAAAATCTTGGTCTCTACAAACTTTAACATGCCTTTTGGTGCTCTTATTTCACAGTCCACTTTTCTCTTACTTAACATCTTACAAATAATTGAAGCACCGGCCCAGTTGACTTACACTCATTTACATTTTACAAGCAAGTAATAAGTAATTCAGTCTCAATAAACATACCTGAGACATTTAAAACTGCATAGAAAGGTGGGGCCTATCCCATTTCCTTTACGACTACCCAATTTAATTTTAAGCCTGGAGGATATGGATGCATAAACAATCTGTATCACAGAGCAAGTAGTAATTAACAGAAGCATAAACTCCCAAATAACCAGGTGATCTTTCTCTGCAAAAGAAAAACCAATATCTACTTCAAGAGGGAAAATATTAACACAAGAGCTAAGATATTAAAAGATATTTCCCCTCTGCAAGGTATTTACATTGGTAAATAAGTGGGTAATTGGATTCTTTTCATCTCTGTGTCGTTGTGTGCCATTCCCTGTTTTGTTGTTTGTACTGTTAACTTGCCCATGGTTTCTGTATGCTCCCCCTTACTGCAGAGGATAACTCTCCTTTATGTGTATGACGGTTCTGGTTAATTTTTATTTACAGGGTTGGCTTCATTACTAGATGCTTTATCTTAATTCTAGTTGCTTTATCCTAAAGTTTCCATTAAAGGACTTCAGTTGTTAAAACTCCTAAACGTTAATGCTCTTTGTTCTAGTTAAATCTGGTTGTTGTGCAGGCTGAATTTTAAAAAACGGAATTATGGGTGACATTAGTACTGATTTTTCAATTTTTTAAAAGATTTTATTTATTTAAGAGGTAGAATTAAGACAGTGAGAAGGACAGAGAGAAAGCTCTAACAGCCCCTGGTTCACTCTCCAAATGCCTACAACAGCTGGAGCTGGGCCGCTCTGAAGCCAGGAGCTTCTTCCAGGTCTCCCATGTGGGTGCAGGGGCCCAAGGGCTTGGGCCATCTTCCACTGCTTTCCCAGGCCATAACAGAGCTGGATTAGAAGAGGAGCAGCTGGGACAAGAACCGGCGCCATATAGGATGCTGGCACTGCAGGCAGAAGATTAACGTACTGTGCTACAGTGCTGGCCCCAGTACTGATTTATTTTTAATGACTACATTATTCATAAGTCATCATTCTTGAGATACATATGGGAAGTGATTTTTTTTTTTTTTTAAGATTAATTTGAAAGGCAAAGTTAGAGAGGGAGAAACAGAACTTCCATCCTCTGGTTCAATCTCCAAATGGCCACAACGACCAAAGCTAGGCCAGGCTGAAGCCAGGAACCTGGAACCCCCATCCTCCTTCCTCCAGCTGCACTTGGGTGGCCTCCCCTAGCACATTATCAGGGAGCTAAATTGGAAGTAGAGCAGCAGGGACTTAAACCAGAGTTGCAAGTGGTGGTTTAACCTGCACCACAACACCGGCCCCTGTGTTTTTGTTTTAGGCAAAACTAATGATATTGTGGAAATGGATGAAAATCCCTTAGATCATTTTTCAGGATTGGACAGAAATCCCTTTCTTAGATCCATTATCTGTAGTTCCACAACTGAAATAACCAAGAGGTACTATTGAATGACTGGTATCAGCAGTGTCCTCAGGACACTCAGATAGTAGGCTTTTGTTCATATTCCCCACAGGAAACTGCTCCAGGCCACCTCACAGATACCTTCATTACCCAGCTTTTGTTACATTACAATGCACTGTGCTTGCTTTTACCCTCTGGCAACCACTCTCACTTCTAATAGGACACAAACACAGCAACTGTCTGTCATTCACTGTAGGGTAGAGAAGAAAGGACAAAACAGTCTTCGAGGAAAAAATTGCATGAAGAGCACACATAAGCTTTCCCTAAAAGGATTTAAATGCAACAGAAAAAAATGAGCCCTAACAATTACTTGTATTAGAAAATTAGAAATAAATGATGAAAGCACTATCTTTACTCTGAAAAACTAAATAGTTTCTCCTCACTTCCAGTTTACTGTCTCAAATGTCCTAATATTTCTAGATTTTTATTTATTTGAAGGCAGAGAGACACTTCGATTTGCTGATTCACTTCCCAAATGCCCACAACTGCTGGAGCTAAGCCAGGCTTGGGGCCCAAGTACTTGAATCAGCACCTGCTTCCTTCCCAAGTGTGAATTAGCAGGAACCTAGAGTCAGGAGTGCAGCTGGGATTTGAACCCAGGAACACGGATACAAGATGTTGTCAGAAGTGACATCTTAACTGCTAAATCAAGCACAGTCCCCAAATATCCCAGTGTTGATAAAAGTATATAGCCTTATTAAGGCCTTATTCCATTTTATAGCAAGGAATACTTCAAGCAGTATATTTCTGTAAGAACCTTTTACATGTGTATGCCTAAGTTAAAAACCTGTCCCTTAGTGTGGATAAGTTTAATGAAATCACAAATTCATTCTTAATAATGATGGTGAAGTAAAACACAGATTTATAAATGCTTTTTTAGGGCTTGTCCTCTTTGATGGTACATATTCAGAATATAAGATGTCCGGCTTTAATCATTGCCTGTGTGTTAGCCATTTCCCTCATACATTGCTAACAATACCAAAATGTGTTCTGCTGATTTCTTAGGATTTTTTTTTTTAATGTTTAGTTTATTTTGAGTTAATAGAGATCTTCCATTTGCTGGTTCATATCCTAGATGGCCACAGTGGCCAGCACTGGACCAAGCCAAAGCTGGAAGCTAGCAACTTCATTTGGGGCTCCAAGCATTTGGGCCTTCTTAACACTGCTTTTCCCAGGCACATTAGCAGGGAGCTGGATCAGAAGTGGAGCAGCTGGAACTCGAACTGGCGCCCCTTTGGAATGCTGGCACTGCAGGCGGCAGCTTTACCTGCTGGGCAACAGCAGCCCCCGATTTCTCAGGGTTTCTTATTTTGAAGTATTTTATATAAGTCAATGTGAGTCTCGGGCAAAACTAGCTAATCTAAGTGAGATTGTGTCTGACTTTCTAACTATGCTTTTCTGAATTCCAATGGTGGAAAAGCATTTTTAAGAACAAGAAAAAAAACGTAAATATCACAGCTTGCAAAGCTTCTTGCTTTTCCATGTTGTGAACGGAACATTAACTATAGCACACAGAACCTCATTTCCTATGGTGTGTCAGGCCTTTTAGGTCCGATCCGGTCTAAGGATAATTACGTGCAACAACCTACTGTGACAGAGAAGCCGAATTATCAGTTATATCTCACAGTCTTCTCACAAAAGAACACCAGGCTCTCACTGTGTTCACATCATCGGCTAATCTCTAGACAGACTTTTCTGGTTGGAGCTTCCTTTTCTCATCAGTTTGTAATCAAAAATGACAGTCAAGGACTAATTCATTTCAAGGAAAGTATTAACACATTAAAACTTCATAAGTAAAATGCTAATAGATACCACATGGAGATTATATGATGTTATATAATATACTTACATATTATATATGGATATACTTGTACTTATTTTAGATCTTAGTAGAACCAGACCTTTTAATATTTTTATTTGCTTTATGTACCATAAAACAAAAGGCTTTGATTGAAAATTCACTTTCATAAATGGTCATATTATAAATTACCTTTCTCATAAGTTATTAACTATCATGCGTCTTCTTGATTATTTTTAAATAATATGTACAATATGTACCATATTTCATTAGAGGTCATGTATCATGTCAAAGTGACATTTAGAGTAGCACTGTCAAAAGTGCTTAAAAATACTGTACAAATAGCCAAATATTAAAATGGTTACTTTATAAACAGGAGTTGATTTAGTCTCAAAGCTTGGTAAGTAATTATCAAGAAATTAAAACAAAATGCACAATGTTCTCAACCATAGTTAAGGTTGGATGATTCAAGTGAATAATATCTGCAGACATCTGAATGGATCTCACATGACACAAACGCTGATCATTTGAAAAATTCTAACTGCTTGATTACTTACTTGTTCTCATACAAGTAAAACAGATCATCTCTTTGGCATCATTCAATGAACTCAACAGTTTCTTTCACATTAATTTGTTTCTTTTATTTCATTAGCTGTTTTAATCAAAATTCTGTCCTGTTATATTAAACATATTCTTTAATAATTCTGCAAAAGTCTTCTACTTAAGTCCTATCAACTTCTGATTACACAACTACCTCCACTTCTTGCCTGGGGTGACTGAAATGACCTGTACCAAGTTAGGAATCCAATTAGGTATTTTTCCTTAGATATTAATATAAGGACTTCAAATTACTCTTTCTCAGAAAAAGACATATTTGCTATAATTTAGTCCCTGAATTCCTGTATCTTAATATTCAAAATGTATAACACATTAAAAATAGTATAGTCGAGAAAGCTTAGGTAGGGCTTTCCTTGTACATTACTATTCATAGCATCATCCTCTGTATAACAGATATTACCTTTTTCATATTTTATATCAATGTATCAACATAACTCAGGACTGAAAACATTGCCAAACATATATCTGGCTCCAAGACAGTATTGCCTGTTAATAGAATATATTTCCCATCTTTATTGAAGCCCATATCCAAAATGACTTAATCTTTTAACATATCTCAAGCAATAATCAGAGGGAAAAAAGGTATTTTAAGTAAGAGACTGCATCATTAAAACCTCTAGAATCACTCTAAAGTTTATCCACATTGTGTCTTCTAGAGGTTTTACGTGTCTTTGGCTAAGGTGGTCTGTGGGCCATCTGAGCCTGCAGATACATATTTTGTTTGACCAGCCCAATTTTCTCAAAAATTTTGATTTTGGGTGTTGGTGTTGTGGCATAGTGGGTAAAGCTACCACCTGCAATGCTAGTGCCTATTAATATCCTGGTTGCTTCACTTTGGATCTAATTCCCTATGAATGCACCTGGGAAAAGCAGAAGATGGCCCAAGTCTTTGGAACCCTGCCTCCTACATGGGAGATCCAGAAGGAGCTTCTGGCTCCTGGCTTCAGTATGGCCTAACCCTGGATACTGCAGTCATCTGGGGAGTAAAACAACATATGGAAGACCGGTCTATCTCTCTCTTTGTTAACTCTTAATTTTCAAATAAATAAATTTTTAAAAATGTTTTTGAATTTGAGTGTCTTCAGATGGGGCATCTATCCTCTAATTTGAGCACAGGCTCAGTATTTCCCCATAGTGATAGACTAGGTTTGATTCACACAGGTACTTGCCAGTCTCTGCGGTATTTTCCTTTTACTCGGACTAAAAACCTAACTGTTAGATTCAATTGCATTTATTAGAGTCTAATTTGACAAATGTAAAATAGAAAAGCTTGTTGAGTAACTGATTTCTACAAAACAATACAAAAAAAAAGAAAGAAACAAAACCCAGAGCATATGAAAAGGCATGACGCAGGTGCAGGCACTGGAGCCAGCGTCGCAGCCGCCACCTGCAGTGCCCTCATCCAATAGGAGCGCCTGTTTGAGTCCTAGCTGCTCCTTCTGAATCCGGCTCCTTGCTAATGTGCCTGGGGAGGCAGCATCTCTGTCTCTGTCTTTGTAACTGTCTTTCAAGTAAAACAAAAGAATTAAAAAAAAAAAAAAAAAGACACCTGCATCCCATACTGGAGTAATGATGGGAGTGCATGGGTTCATGTCCTGGCTTCACTTCTGATCCCAGCATTCCTGCTAATGTGTGTCCTGTGTGTACTCTGGGAGGCATCAGGTGATGATGGGGCCCTGCCA